TGCCAGGAACGCAGCGCACCCGCTTCTGCCTTCGTTATGTTTTATCTCCTATGTACACTCCTGCCCCAGGAATCCTGCCTGCTGCAAGCTCTCCAGGCTCCCGGGGAAACTGCTTGACTTGTTCCTTGGAGTCGGGTGTGTGGGTGGTTTGGGTTTATTTTTTATTTATTTTCAAGGTCTTCTGTTATTGGTGTTTTTTAGCTGAGATTCTGCCCACGCTTTAGTGGGGTTTTTTTGGGTTGAAATTTCTGACCCTTGTACCATTAGAATCCCAGTTCTGATCTGTCTGTTGGTTCTGCTCTGTGCTGTAGGAAGATACTGAAGCCTGGTGGAGTTCAGGTTCAGAGCCCCATCAAACAAATGCATTTTTTTTTCCTTTAAACTAAATAAATACAGTTGTGCTAGTAAAGATGATCTCTCTCTGGATCAGGAGGGCAGGATTTCCTGCAGGACCCTTAAGGGTCTTTCCTAAGGGTAGAGACAACAGCTGTAAAGCTTGGGCTGTGCGTTGCTACAGAGGAAAACCCTTCAGTGGTGACTCTGCAGATCTGCCGGGTCCCTGATGCCACAGACCGCCTCTGAGCTGCTCCTCAGGACTGAGTGTAGGGTTTAGCTCACCAGCTTTGAACAGCAACTGCTAAAAAACTCTCTTTTAGAAAGATAGGCAGGGATGTAGTGCTGGGGAAGGTGCCCAAGGGGCGTTTGCTTTCCGGGAGGAATTCCCGAGGAGATGCAGACTCGACTGCAGCTTGCAATGTCAGGGGGCTGGGCATTTAATTAATAAGTGAACAGTCTGCTGGAAAAGCAGCTTTCTGCTCGACCAGCTACCGACAATGTTCCAGGCTCTGTTCTCCCTTCAGCAGCCTGTGACTCGCTGGAGGTGAAAGGAGAGGGCGTTTTTCCCCTGCTGAATGTCAGTGCTACCCACCGGTGCTGCCTGGGAGGGAGCTGAGGTGGAGGGAGGAGAGTTCTTGTGTCCCTGTTAATTTAAACGCTTTCTAAACGGGCTTTCCATGGGGGGGAATGTCAGAGGTGATGAGAAAATGACCTGCTGTGGTTCGATGAAACCTTTTTCTTGTGTTGCAGGGGGCAAACCAGATGACATCACCGTCCTCCTTTCGATCGTAGCCGAGTACACAGACTGACGGGCCGGAGCGCCGGCCCCCGGCCCCCCTTGCCCCTGAGCTCCCAGCCTCACCCCCACGGTTTCCTGCTGGCAGGATTTTGCTTTCTTCCTTTGCAGCCGATCTCGAGCTCGTCGCCTGTCTCGAGACACAACTGACGCCCCCGTTCAGAACCACTCTCCCAGTGCACTGGTCTTTGTCTGCCAGCGAGAGCTGAAGAAGCTCCAGGCTCGAAGCGCGTCTTTCGGAGCTCCGTCGTTGCCCTGAGAAGGGGGAGGGTCAGTCCCACGTCGCTCCTGCCTTCGAAATGTGACTTTCCAAGGAGTAAAGTTGGTTTATCAGCTTTCAAGCTAGATTCAATAGATACGACCTCTGCAAGAGGGCATATTACTCTATTTGCTAGAAACGTTCACTGTTCATTAAAGGGTATGTTTCAGAACACAGTTTCATAAGCATAGTCTTGTTCCAGTGATAGCTGAGGTTTCGTGTTTCTGAGCTCCAGTTTTCAGGAGATTTCTAACTGCTGTAAACATTCTGCTCTTGCCATCCATGGTGTCAGCCTAGGAGCCTTTTCTAGTACGAAATTTCAAAAAAAAAAACACCAACCCCATACTTAGTTCAAGTTATATGGATGCAAATGTGTTTTGTGATTTCAGGTGCTTAACTGTGATCTCAAAAGTTCTGCAGATCATTCGTCCACAATGGGCCTGGTATCTGGATGTTTTGGCTGTGGATAATTATTACTTTTTAATTTTAAAAAAAAAAATGTTACCTCGGTCTCCAAAAGCCGAGCTGGCCAAAGCTGAGGCCTTTCCAGCATTTGAACCCATCTCGCCAGCGCGGGGCGGGGAGGCGGCACAAAGAACAGATCATCCTCAACTCTGAGCTCCTTCACTTGGGGTAGATAATTCTGTGGTTAACGAGAGGTAATTTGCGTTACTAATCGCCATTGGCGCTTGGGTAGAGCAGAACGAGCTGCACCAGTTGCAGTGCAGTCCATCCTTGTCCGACTCTCAGCCGAGCCCGTTTGCTGGGGCAGCAGCAGTGAGTGCAGAGATGGGAACTACTAATGAGTAATCAGCAAAACTTAACATTTCAGTAACTAAAGTTTAGGGGTTTTGGAATGAACCTTAATGATGTTTACAGTTATCTAACAGCCACTTTGCAATATGACATTTCCTTTTGAATGACAGTAGCTCACGTTCGTTCCCCCGTTCCAGCGAGCTTTCCTTTTTCTTTCCTGAGGTTCATACAAAAAGCTGATAGCTGTAAAGATATATATATTTTTGGTCAGTTTTTCATTAACTTTTTTGCTGGTAGAAAAGTATGTAGAAATAAATTAAAGCCATGTTTTTATATATAAAAAGTCGGGTAAATGTCGCTGTTTAGGTGAGTGCAGTTAAACTTGGTCAGTAAGTAATCTTACTTGCTCTCAAAAGGAGATTTTTACTACCTGGTTTATTGTATTAAAACTGTTTAAGTTTGAGGTTACCTCAACTTGTTTAAAGAATTTTTGTGGACTTGTACTGTATATTTGCGTAACTATGTCGAGCTTTTATTTAAGGTCATTTTAACATGTACCATGTACATGTCATTTTACGATATTTCAATGCATCATGCTTGTAACAGGCATTTCATTTATAATAAGAGTTAAGTGATTAATTTGGAAGCTCTTCAGTAATTTATCTGCTATATTCCTAAATTGGCGTAACGTTAGCTCTCTCTTTTAAATCACCTTGTAATTACTTGTCAAAAATGCCTTAACTACCCTAACTTGACCAAAATGCTCTTTTTGGTGAGGGTGCGGGGAGGGTTACGTTCACAAGACGAGCTGATGAGCGTTGTGACCCAGGAGCAGTGAGTGGTGGGTAACTTTGCACTACTCCTCAGCCCTCCTCGTTATTCGAGCTGTCTCCGGCGGCCTCCTTCGAAGGAATGTATTCACTGCAGTACAGGGCTTTGTCTCTCACGTTTGGGAGGGCGCTTCTCTCCCAAATCTGGGTGTCTTTACATTTTATTCTCCAGTATTTACTATCGTGCTTCTTCATTAGAGCAGATCTGATCAATTCTTCTCTCCCCTGATTGACCTTAACGCGGCGCCCCCGCAGACCGGGGGTGTCGCCCCCGAGCCGAGCTGTAGCTGCGAAGCCGTTTGCCTCCTATCACCTTGTGATTTAGGATTCTTTTGTTTTTGTTTTTTTTTTTTAATGAAGAACAAATTTGGATTTTTGATTTACAAATCATGAGTTTATCCCTCACTGGACGCACCAAAGACCAGTAAAGCTTAGAGCTTTTCCATCTGTTTATAAAGCAATACTGTATTATAAAGAATTGATATTTTTATCACATGGCTTGATTGTTTTTGGTTTGGTTGTCGTTTTATTTTGTTGTTTTTTTTTTTTTTTTAAGATGTGCACTCTAAACATATCAAACCTAATTTCTTCCTATGAACTTAAGCTGTCTGCGCACAAAATGAAAAATTTTTGGAAAAGGAAATGACAAGGGCCCATTATCAAAATAATTGTAAGCGACGCATGAAGCAGTAACACTTGTAGGAGCTGGACGATTGTGACCGTTTGGGAGGAAGGACACGGGGGGGTGCTCCCCGAGGCAGTGGGGGTGTGAGCAGAGCTGGGGCTGTTCCCAGAGCCCGAGCTGCAGGAGCACCCAAAGGGAGGGGAAGGGAGGGAAGGGAAGAGTTTTCCCCAGCAGTAAGGGTGGGAGTGGCGGGAGCTGGGGCTGCTGCGGCAGCGTCACTCGGTATTTGGGTAAAACAGGGCTAAGGTGTGGGGGATTGGAAAAACTCTGTGGTTCCTCGTGACTTCCGTGGCTATCTTTGGGAGACCTGCGACATACAGTTCCCCTCTAAATGTTGTGCTTTGTCTTGATGAAGGAGGTTTGGCTGGAAATAAAAACCAAAACAAAAACCAGATCTTGGGACCAGAGAGTTGTGACTTGAGTCGGGGAGAAGGGAGAGGCGAAGGTCTGGCAAAGGTGGGAAGGGCTTTGTGGTGGGATCTCCAGGGCAAACCCAGGCTGTGTGTGTAGGAGCTGGCTGTGTGAAGTAGTTTCTTACAAAGATAGCTGAAATGAGGAAGCGAATCCGAGGCTGTATCTCATGAGGATGCTTTTTTGTTGTTGTTAAATGAGACTATCATCTATGCTTACCTAAGAGGCAATTATGTGAATTTCATGTCTGAGGTATAACTTATGCAGGAATAGTTCTGTAAATACATTTAAATGAATTGTAAAGATATTTAATAAATATAGTATTTATACTAAAATGTGGGATTTTTTTTTTTAAAGTGGGCTGCCAAAATTCTGTTTAAGGTGGTGATGTCATTGGGGGCACAGAGACGGTCGGGTGGTGCTGGGGTTTCACTCAGACCTCCTTACAATGTTCTCAAACCTGCCTTTGGATTACAGCTAAAACTTGCCTGTGCAGTCTGCTGGGTAGAATAATGATCCTTTAATTGAAAAAAAAAACGGAAACTTTGGGGTTTTATTTCAATGTGGCTTTGGGAGTGCTGCACTGTTCACTGACTTGTGGTGGAAGAGGCAGGGGGAAGGAAAAGAATAAGGCTGAAAGAGAAAAGCTTCTTAAGCTCCTGCTTGCAAACATCTTTAATTGTTTAAAATGCATTTCTATGACAACGGTGGTTACTCAGTTACTCAACAGCTCTACAACGTTTCTGTAAAGATGCCAGTGATGCTGTAGCAATAACGTGTCTGGCTGTGCCACAGTGGGTGGGTTTGTCTTTCCAGCACTTGGAACTACAGCAGCAGCCTGTGTTGCTGCAGTGGGGACACGGTTTGAATTCCCTGGGGAGGATGTGCTGGAGAGCTGAGCGCCCAAAGCAGAGCACCTACAGGATAACCTGAGCCAGGCGGGACCTCAGTTTCTCAGTGGGACAGCAGGTAACAGAGTGACCCGTGCCCGTGGTGAATGCAAACCCTGAACAAACAGCCACCCTGCAGTGGCAGGGCAGGACCTGAGGAGGCACTCGGGACCAGGATGGGTTCTGCCCTTTTCATGGACATGTCTTGCAGGAAAAGGCACTGTCCCCACTTGAGCAGGATTCCCCCTTCCTGCTCCGGCTGACCGGGTGTTTGTGAAGTGCTGGGCACCATGCACGCTCAGAACACAGGTACCCACTGAGCTGTAACTTCCTGAACTGCAGCTAAACTTTATAAACCCAGAAACGGCTCCACGCCTGCAATGTCAAACATACCTTTATCTCTCAGGGCAATTCCTGGTAGTCTTTGCTTGGGTTCAAACACTTTGTGTCCCTAGAGGACGGGGGAGCTCTGCATGGACTCCTCCTCGGTGTCGCTCGCTGTTGCTATGCTATGCAAGGAGTGGTGGATGGGATCCTCCTTACAAGAAACTGCTCCAAAAAATAAGGAATGAAACTGCAAAATACAATAGCGATAAAAATAAGAAGCTGGAGGTGATGCAGAATTTGGGGGTTGATTATTTCTGAAGCTTTTCCCATTTTAAACTCTTGCTTTGTGTACAGCGCTGCCCAGTGAAACGCGCCTGCCCCGGCTGAGCG